TGACTACTGCCAGTAATTTCCATTTTTCTTTTGCCATAAATACTCACCAAAAATTCAGCTATGTCTACATGAAGYGTATGGCCATACCTTGAACAAATACCTTGGCTCTGAACTAAATTTACACTTCTCTTAAGTCAAATGCTGTATTTGTTGAATTTTCTTTTTCAGAGGTCACTACAAGCTTTTCAGAGTTGCTAAGATCTGCAAGAAAAGGCTTTTGGAAACCTTTGCCCATTTCACCTGCTCTGTCTGCAGAGAAAAAATGATCAACCTAAAACCACAGCTTCATCAGTGTCTGTCCTAACTTCAAATCTATATACTATCCAACTAAACCACCATCTTTCAAGATATTTACAGCCAAATAAATAACTGGCTAAGAAGCTATGTCTTCTGTCTTCCCACAGTTTAATACTACACCTAGAAATGCCCATCCCTCTGCCCCTCCTCCTCTTGCTCTTCTCATTTGACTCCTGCCCACATCATCTAAATTCCACTTTGATGCCACTGGTCTTCAATCAGATTATAAATCCTTTTTGGGASACCTCATACCTTAATGGTTACAATAAGAGAGCAAGATGAAGTACGGTGCCAATCCTAACAGGACGTTTAAGCTCTACTGACATACAATATAATTTGAACCTGACGAGTATAGAAATAGTCACAGAAAGCTATTTGCAAAACACGTATTAGTCAAGTTTATAAAATACAGAATATTTTTTTGACATTGTAGATACTGTCTTACATGCCTACACAACAATAATGTTTTATAAGAACTCTGACCAGGACATTAGCTCCTTTACAAAAAAAGTCAGTCTTACGGCATCTGTATCTTACATGAAATGTAAAGGGACAGATTAATGTTTAGATTATCTCCTCTCATACTTTTATACAAACATGCATTCAAACATATTTGAGAAAAAATTATACTGACAACAAGAAAAAACAAATTAACAACAAAACTCACTTTACGAAAACGTAACTATGTAACATATGAACCAAGGAGACGCATTTCTTCTCTATGTTCTCTCAAGAAGGAATACACTAGTGCTTTCAGTATCAACTTAAATCAGTATAAACTCATGTGCTACAACCTCACTGCTCTTTTTTTTGGTATGACAGCAATCACCATTAAGTACTGTCCTAATCACATAAATTGTTCTCTATGTCTTAGGGTAATATTTTAGCAACAGGGTTCCCCCACACATATAATTAGTTGGCAGGCTGGAGTMTTGAAATTGCCTCAGTTGCCTTCTAGAAAAGTATGAATCAACTTTCTGCACTTCCTCCTTTTTTTGTTTGAAAGGGAAGGTGAAGACCACTGARCCTCAAACAGCTGAGATGCTGTGATACATCAGAGGTGAACATGGACATGTGAAATCTCCCTAAACAACCCATGATTTTTCAGGGTCGGGCCTCTTCCAGGAAAAATGCATTTTTAATGCTTTTCCCCCCACCATGGCTTCTCTTATTGGTGCATTTCCAGTTTCCGAAAGTCTTTTAAGTGATTWTTTCCCACAAGGCTTAGGATTTCACATTCTAAATAAGCCATTGCAGAGATTATAAAGATGTGAAATGATCTCGTGAAAACTTTCCAGCAGAGTCTAAAAACAAAGGCAAGCAACCCRTATAACCAAGCAGCTCTGAAAACTTATGACTGAGTTTGCAGTTAAAAATATAACTTCATTCCATTTTTGATTCTTTCTATCAGAGATTGGATGATTTCTAGACATTAAGACACAGACATCACAAGAAAGATTAAGCAGTATGTATAAAGGTTTCACCTAGTTTGTATGCCTGTGCTTAATGAAATAAAAGTTACAAACAGACAGCTATGTTTTAGGTGTCAAACATTTCTTGACGTCTGTGGCAGTTGGCAGCTGCAAACATCCGACTGAAAGCCCCATCTGCTGCTTCACAGCTTCCAGTCGAGGATGTTTACAGTCGCTCACTGTCAACAGCAATACACATTCCTTGGCTGTTTATTTTATATTATGAACATGCAGAGGCCTCCAAGCAGGTTAGTTAGGATCACTACAACTTCTGTTGCTGTGTTGCTGCCCGCAGATGTACACGGGACTGTTTTTATAGTATTTACCAATGAAATTAAGTACAACTTCCAGAGGAATGCTTGCAAACAGCCAGGCATATTTTCTATTCAAGCATTACATTTCTAAAATTATGTTGCCTATTTTACAGCCAGTAAGAATTAAATAAAGATGTACAAAAAGAGCAACTTGCTTCCGCTGTTGTATTTGTTTTTGTTCTCCAAGTGACTTGAGCAATTCTGTCATACAAAAACTGCATGACTACCAGCCATGAGGTTCACTTATCAGTACAGCAACTAAAGATAGTAACTGGCACAAAAATAGAACCAAACCCTTCCAAAGGGTATTTCACTACAGTGTCTGGGATGGCTTCCTTCCCCACAGAAAAGTGGGTGCAAGGAAATTATATGATATTAGAAGTTAGCTTATGCAATATTTGCTTCTAAATAAAACCATGGAAAAAACCCCACCACCCAGCCCACAGGGCACTGTGGGGAAGAGGGAGGAAGTTGTATAGCAAGCTCTGCAAAGGTTTCAATAAAGTTCAGACCTGCTACAAGATTTCTACAAATGATCTGAGCTAACCAGTTGCTGTWACACTTCATGTAGAGTTAGCAGAATGGCATTTCTCACCAAATGAAAAAGCCAAAAAGATTTGGCATAACAACGTCTCAGTTGTACAGKTCTGCTGTTTGTTTTTCATTCTATCTCCCATTTCCTTATTAAGTTAATGATGGGGAAAATTAAAGATTAATCACTCAACTATTTTTCTGAAGTCATATGAAACCGCAGCAGGCAAGCAGAGCGATTATATCACTCTAATTAGAAGGTGTTTTTCCTTGAAACTTTCTTACCCCCAAATGAAATTACCACACTGTAAACYGAGTAGGTTATGAAAAGACTGTAGCTGGAATGCAGAAGCCTGTGGCATATTTACTCAAACTGATAAGTGTGAAGAATCTCTATAAATCACTTTCAAAACTCAGGGTTATATTTTCTATGCTAAGGTTAAGAAAATTAATCTTTCAGGCAGCAGGTGAAAACAAGCAGAATTATGCTGGGGCCTTTCCCTTTATTCAATATCAACTTTGAGCTACTAAAGCTTCCTAGGGAATCACATATTCTCAATGGGTCAAGTCACTACGGAAACAAAGCAAACTTTATCAGTGCTGCACAACTCTACATTCCAGGAATTCCTAGCACTTGGCATCTATATACCACATCAGAGCCACAGCAWCCACTCACCCTCTCCTTAGGAGAGYTACCATGACAAGTTATGAAACTCTCAGTAAGATCCCCAACTTTMCACAAAGTTGGCAATACAAGGAGGTACTGGCCATTCCTCTGTGAGGTCTACTGAAGAACACGACAGTAAGAAAATATATTTACTATAACAATACTTCAGAAAAAAAGAAAAAGAGAGTTCCTCTTTTGGCAAGTTCCATCTTATTTATCACAAGCCAGCTAAGAAAAACACTTAAATCATACTTAAATTTTACAACAACATGTATAGTTAGCAACCAAAGAAAAGCCAATAAAAATACCCTCAAATGCAAAACACTAATTGCAGAATGAAAGTATTTCACCTTAATTACACCAGTCAGACACTAAAATTATCATTTCGTTTGTAAATATAGTAGCCTAATATCTACAACATAAAGGAGAAAAACATAGGGAGCCTATAAAATGGAATTAATTAGATGAAGGAYGTTTTATCAGCAACAATAGGAAACTTGACTCCACGTATGGCTACCTTTCAATTTTAAAAACACCGACAGATTATATCTCTATGAAAGTCAAAACAAGGTCAGTCTAAACTGTGAGGCACTTTATCAYACAGTATGGACTGCTATGTAAGAGAAGACAATGAGTTGTCTTTACCACTCTGATATTTAATTTTTAAAGTATTCTTACAGAGGTGTTTAGTAAGAAAGTGTCCAAGATGCAAACAGCAATCAACAGGGCTTGATACATGCTGATCTTGATAAGGTGAAACATACCTGAACAAACACAGGCAAGAAAAAAGAACAACATTCTAACTTTTCAATGTCTCTATGAATTTACAGTTGCCATCCCAGAAGGACAAAGGGGCAAACTGGTAGCACTTAAGCCCTGTTCAATGAAAAAAACCAACCTTTCCACTGCTTTTCTCTCATTCCCCTGAAATTTCTAAGACGGATGAATGGATTATTAGTGACAAAGAAACAACTACAAAAACAAACAAAGTAAGTAACTAAACCAAAACTTGCTAATTGCTCCTAGAATTCAAAAACATGGCCTCTACCTTTTCTGTTAACTTCCATATAGATGAGGTGATAGGGTAACTCAGACAGAAAAATTAGTTTTTAATTTTATCTGATTAACATTGGAATATCAACAGATAAAAATGCAAATGAAAAGCTACACAGAATTAAAAACTTAGCTCGTGACAATTATTTTCTAAGTTGCTTTATAGTTTACATTYTCAAATTCGCTTGTCAAAAACTCTAACATCATCATTAAATATGGGAAAATAYTATTCCTCCTCTTCCTGTCACTGACAGGCCAGGAAGATTAAGCACACATTACTTATATGAACTCAAGTTCACAGCTGTTACRGTACAGCATGAGTATCTCCAACTGTTGCAGATGAATCCAATTCTCCCAAATGCATTTGAACTCTAAAATGCCTGAAGCAGCAGGCTCCCCCTGCGCTAAGCAGGCAGTTGCAGACAAGTAGTTGAAATTACACACTGAAAGAGACACAAAATACCCAAACATTTGGGAATGAGATGTCAAAACTAYTGGTAAAATCATGAACATGTAGTGCCTAGTTTTCTTGAGCCTCTTCCCAAAACTCTCTCCTTGACATCTAATCATTAARGATCTTAAACAGCTTTTAATCCATTCAAGTGAATGAATACTAGAATGCATCTCACTAGTAATATATCTGGAGAAAAAAGCCCAAGAACTTACTTCTTGGATATCAGCTGATCCTACTTCAGTCCCCTTCATAAGAGATACCCACACCTCCGGGGAGAATTACATTCTTCATCAGCCAAAGACTGCTCCTCAGATTTCCAAGAATCTGTATCACATACATGAACAGAARTTATTGTAATTCCAGAAGTTCAGCAGTTCAGATCACATAGTTCTAATTATTAGGACTGTCTGCAAGAAGTCARATATCTTTTAACAACCATTATTACAACTGTGTCTTTTTCTGGTAYAGTCATTTAAAACTCAGAATGTGTTTAAAGTGATGCATTACTCCTGAATGCAGCTGTCTCTCAATTAGTGTACATAAAGGTTAACTGCCAAGGTAGCATAAGTATTCAGAAACTATAMTGAAGAATTTAAATTTCCCACCAGAGGTAGGCATGACTTCTCATTTATTATATTAAGAAACGTGCAKATTACACAACCAAAACCAAGCACACAATCAATCTCAGATTTAACACTACTTCAGAAAAGCAAAATCCCCAGGGCTTTAAGATTGAGAAGAATTTATTCATGCATTTATTCTAGAGGAAAAAGGACCTACAGAACCCCATAAAGACAGATGAACGAAGAGATACACAAGACAGAGCTACAATATTAGGCAAAACCCAAAGAAATAGACATTGAGCACMGAAAATACACAACAAGGAGAATGAAAGGAAACCAACCTAAAGYAGAGGGAGAATACACACATGACCATTCTRAAATCTAAGTTACAAGCACATAGCAAAAGCAGAAGTAGTGCAGGATGTAAAACTTACTAACKGAGATGCATATACTCAAAGCATATTATTTACCAATTTGCACCCCTGACACCTTTTGAAAGCACTTGAACCCATTCTGTACGTGCCRCATGAAACAAAGATGCCTTTGATAAACACATCTCCACCAACCAACTGCAGCAACAAGTGAAGGGTAAAGAGAAGCATGAGCACTATTTATACACTGCTATGGCTTCAGTGAACAGTACAGTGTTRTTTACTCCTCTCCATTTCAATGTCATGAGAGAACCGTTGTGAAGCCCGCGAACCTTAAGTACAGGCCAGAAAGGAAGATGCAACAGATTCAACTGTCCTTTGGTATCAGCCRGCAGAAGTGGGCGACACCCAAGTGGTTCAAGGCATTTCTCCCTGTCAGCAGAGCCAAGTGCCATGCCAGCTGCTGTTCCATGAGTAGAGCAGAGTCCAGCCTGAAGCTGTGCATAACTATGCATTGCTGTGTCACTTCCCAATGCAGAACCTTTAAGTTCATGGCTTCCSATTTCAGATAAATACAAAGACCATATACTGGGTATATGACACAAGAATAAAGAGCATAGATTGGACAAAAACACAGTCCCCAATGGTGATAACTTCTCACAGTTTTATGGAAAAAGCATTGTCCAAGAGAGCATAACATAACAGATCCCAAGCTTAGCAAAGAACATTTACTTAGATTTGACAGCATGAACAAACTACCGACAGCACACAACTCATTCAGCTGCATTGTCCATTTTCAAAGGGAAGGCAAAATACAGCTGCAGTGATAACCCTCTGGCACAGGGGTCACACTACAGGCATGGCACATACCTGGGATTCCTGCATGCAGGAGAAGACATATGTTGGGCTGACCAGAACCATGTTCAAACACAAAATTCTGCCCCAACGTCCTCCCAGAATTTCTAGAACACTTTGGTCCTGTATTTTGCAAATAGTCTCCTAGCTCACATTTCTTATGTCCTGTATTCAGGACATGTAATTTGTGCTGAAGTCACATCCCCRGGGAACTATTTTATATTCTACTGTACTCCTGAGAAAAGCAGGGACTTCAATTCTGATCCTTGTGTTGGTCCAGTGACTCACACCTCATATGCTACTAGTTTACCCTCATTTCCGATTTCAGGGCCAGGTAGTCAATGCAGGAATCAGTTCTGCTTGCCTATACGTAGGACACTGCAGCCATCCCAAATCTCCTGCACATACAGGGAAGGCCATTTTTTACTTCACATCAATCATTCCCTCATTCAGAGCTCAAACACACAACTGGGACATAAAGACTCTCAAAATAATTAGCACAATCATGGTGTTTGTCCATCATCTCCAGTAGATCAAAACAAATAAAGCCTATGGCCACAACACTATTTTAATTTAATGTGCTCCACAGTGAAATGGACAAGCCCCAGATCTTGCAGACGAGTCCACAAAGCTTCAGCTTACACATTCTTACCTATGAGTTTGTGCGAAGCATTGAGTACTCTCATCCCAAAAGTACTTGAATATTACCAGAAATTAGTTCTAGATGAAAGAGAGCTTCTGAGCATTAYGTGAAGCAAAACATCCACTAAAAGTGTGCAGAAAGCAACTTTGTTAAGAACACCATATTCTAAAGCAATTTAGATAATGCTTGTTTATTCATAGCACAACACAAGTAAAACGTAACTGCAAYATTTGAGGAACAAAACTAGAGTTTGTGGGCAGCAAATGCACTAACCTTTGCACACATACACACTGGGGTAATGCACCTACTCTAAGTCCCATTCTTCATTTATTTCCAACAGCCTCCCTTTTCTTGGGTGTGACCAGGCTTACGAAATGAGGGAACAGAATGAGGCTGAACATCAGCAGTTAAACACTTGCCTGTTCCCACAGTTTGAAATTAAACACTCTGACCTATCAGATAAAATGCTGACATCATCCTGTCAGGGCTATGAACCTGAATCATGTTAATGTTAACCTGTATCCTCATCACCGTGAAAAGGTCTTTCCTCCCAACTTTCCAGAAGCAGAAGCTACAAGAGACTAACATGTACATGATAAAAAAAGACACCCACCAAGTTAAAAGAGAGGCACAATTCAGTCCTACAAAGCATGGAGAAAGCATTAGACTTACCCGTGAAGCAAGAGGAGGGAGAGTTTACCAGCATAAATGCCCTAGCCAAGACACTGTGGAAGCTCCAAAGTGTTCAAAAAACTGCCAAAGAAAGCGCACACTAGAAAGTTCTGCAAGAGGAGAAGGCAGAGTGAGCCCCTCCAGAACAGCTAAAACAGAGCTGCATGTGAGAAATGACAGGTTGGAGGAGAGCACAAAGTGAGAAGAAACCTCTACCTTTAACTTCAGGCAGACTTCTTCCTCAGCTACACTCTAAAGTTTTCAGTATATGTCATGAAGATTTACTCTAAATGCTGCCCCCACACAGCCTTCCACAGATGCAAACAGATTGTGTAACTGCATTTTACTCCTGATAGCAGAAATAACTGCCCAGAGATTACAGAATAGGAACAGAAAAAAAGAAACAGGACAYGTATAAAACTGTTTTCTATTAAAAAAACCCACTTTTCTGATATGGTCAATAGTGAAGAAAATTCCTGATGGATAAATATASATTTTGTAGTCAGATAAAAATTAGAGCTCTTGACAGTTCCAAGAACAGTTCTAAGTTCTCAGTTGCTTAGACTCATAGAAAGTTCATWATGAACTTGCTGCAAAAGCTTTCATTTAGAACATATGTCACTTAGGAAAAACATGGAGCCAAGACCTGACTTTGTTTTTCAAACGTTTTAACAACCAGTCCCCTTGGGATTATGTCAGGCATGTCACACTAGGATGGTTTGGACTCACCTTGACCGGCGAGTATGTTAAAATGCAACTAAACCTGTCTACATTTGCACTCCAAATCATGCTTCTAAAGTTTCAAATGATTACAGAGGAAAACYGTCTGTGGATCTAACACTCATCAAGACCACATTATCACGTGTTTTATTCAACATGAAGTGTGACAGGCAGAAGCAGTCTTACAGAACAAAGTAAAACTTACTTTCTACACACCTGAATTTAAAAGAGAAGGGGAAGCTTTTTTGCACAAAAATCTATTTGCTGTGGTAGGTTTTTACTGTAAAAGCTATATTGATACAGCATAAGTTTTTGRTGCGAAGGATTACATTATGCAAATGGTTGAGTTAATAAACCAGAGCTGAGAGTGAGTTCTTGTTCCTTARTTTATGGCCCAGTGCTACATTCCTGTCACACAACGCCATAATCTTCAGAGAATTACTTCACATTATCCTCCTCAGAGTAATCTAGGAATGCAGATACAAAGAACATCAACCATCACCTTCCTAAGACTTTCCCTCTTAATCCTCAAGGGTTTGGGTGCCTGATAAAGTTTTAGATATTACAAAAACTTTAAACATCCGTCCTTGGCTGCTAYTACCCTCCAAGCACACGGCTTCCTGCCAGCGGGCACTTGTACCATCACTGAAGCCTTCSTAACATTGACTGAACCAATACTGCACGCCCAAACCACCACGTGGTTCTCAAATTCCCTGCTCACCCTGTCACTCCTCACTGCTGAAATACAAGAACGAGCAGCTTCCAGACCTGTCCTTTATCTCAGCAATGAAATAGGAGTTTGGGAATAGACCAGCTGCACTGAAAACCTTCTTGTACAATACAAACACTAGGAAAAGAAGAGTTCAGGTTTAAATCCCTCTGTAGGCCTACCTGAGCCACAACCCAAAACTTGGCTTTCACTGTCCACCTGAATGCCTATGTCTATGTGGTGATGCCCTCCATGCTTTGACCAGTGCTTTCAACAGGAGAGTATTCAGGAGCTTCTGACACTCAGGAGAGGCACCACACTCAAATTACGCCCCTAAACCAGTAAGATGAACACTTTGGAAAAKGGGACCCTGCTCAGGCATCTCATTCTAGGACAGTGTTTGCAACTGCAAGTAACAAATGGATTGACACYTTCACCTAGCTAGACCCAAGACTTAAGCCTCTAAAAAAGCTAAGCTGCCAAGCAGATATCTCTCTACATGTCCTGCTGGTCCCTGAGGCCCTGATTGCTGTCCTTGGAAGTGACAGGGGACACCTTGCACAGCCTTTTCCTCCAAGTCACTCAGACAAAGCGGGTGCCAACTCTGGGCTACGGGCATCAGGGCAGCTGCAGGTCAGGCATCTGCACACACCAGCCCTTAAGCTACCCTGGATGTTTTGTTCCTCCTTCTGTCAGCTGTACAGAAAGTACAGACATCCTCTTGGCATACTTATCTTCACTCAGATTTCTAAAGAATCAGTGAAATGAATCACATGTGGCTCTTGTATTTATTCTACTAAAATAAGCAAAACTCAACCACAGGATCAACATTTAGCATTCARAGCACTCACGTGCTGGTGGACTCAGMCCTGATGAAAATACTTGCTCCTCCCTCCCTGGGCTTTAACAGSTCCTAACCCTACACAGTGTCAGGGCAGCTACCTGGCTGCAAATGCCCCTTGAACATCACATCTGACTTCCCAGCTAGCGAAGGGGATTCCAGTACAAAAGCAGCATTGAGAAAACAGCTTAGAAAWCTACAACAGCAATGCCAGGTCTCTAACTTTTTAAGTAGATTTAAAASATGATAACTAAGAATAAGAGATATTAATTAATTTTCAATGGTAACAGCAAAGCGCCAATAATCTATTAGGAATCACTGACAATGCATTTAACATTTAGTATTTTCCCTCATTTCTCACAAGGCAAGAGACAGACTTATAAATTCATTATATGACACAAGAGGTCTCAACACACAAAAACTATTACCAATTAAATGAACCTCACCAGGAAATCTTTTCAGAAAGTGAACCCAGTAGAAATTAATCTTTACCCAGATCTTTTGACAGTGAGCTSATAAGTAATGCTTCCATTCTTGGTATCTGTATGAGTTTGAATTACAACAAAGCTATGGGCAACAGCCATAAAAAAGTAACATGCCTTTTAACATGGGTATATTAAGTTCGACTTCAAGAGCCAAGTTTTTTTGAGGGAGAGGGGAGTTATCTTCTGCAATCATTTTACACTCAGCCTTCTCCATTCAAACAACTGGCACATAGAAAAGCTTAAAACATAAAAAGCAAAGTGACCTATTGTGTTTTTAGTCAAAGTAGATACAGAAGTAACCTTCAAGGTTACCTTGCCCCATGTGCGGCCTCAGGAAGGAAAAAACCACAGTTTCAGCAAAGGAATTTCTTGCCTGGCTGGAGGCCACACCCGCCACAACAACTGATGGCAGGAAAACATTTGGATTCACGACTCTATCTGTGCACCCAGCCGGAGGCAAAGCAAAACTTTCTCATTTTCAGAGAAGAAAAGAAACTCTTGCTCAATAAGTAGCAATTATGCTGCAGAATTTATATGCTGAGCACGGCTGAATGTACGAGCACCAGATCAGTCAACCATAGCTTTAGTGCTTTGAGTATGATTAACAGAATGAACTTTCAAAGGTCAATTAAATGTCAACACATTTTAAAGAGATATTCTTCTAAAGCTGAGGCGACATGTAACAGTACCTTCCAGAGCTGCTGTGCACTTTCACCTTAAAATTTTACCCATATTATACTTACACGTGCAGATATAAAGATGATAACTAATTAACCTTTGATAGAAAATAATGGCTATTTACACTCCTGGTTTTCTGTCACTAAGCTGTCTTTATAACTTGTGTCTAAMAAGTACAYAGAGACACTTGCCCCACAACTTCARCTGTTGAGGGTGTGAGCAAAGTGAGAAGCAAACGAGCAAGAAGAGTTTGAAAGTCTAATAACTCACTAAATGAAAATGAGAAGAGGCTTTTGATATGCAATTGAGCTGCCTCGATGTAAATGTGGAGGAGGATGGGGGGGGACTGCAACCGAATTAATTATGAGCGCATTAATCATGACTTTAGGCAGCCAGTGATTTATCTTTTCACTTCTAAACACTTCTGCAAATTCAAACTTCAACTAACTAGCTCAGGACATTTTAAAACAAACGCTGAAAAGCTGAACGCTCAGTACGATTCATTAAAGTCATCCCTCAAACCGGATGCTCAAATCATTAGTTTAAAAGTTAAAAAAAAAAAAGTCTCCATTTCAGTATAAACTAAAAGGATCAAAATCCCAACCAAGGCCTCATAACAGTAACATAATCATTTTGACATGAGCAATACTTATTCAAGACCAGAGCTAAAGAATAATTTGAGAGTTGAGAAAAACCAGCGGAGAGCCGCACTCTGTGCAGACGCCAGAAGAAAAYGGGCTGGAGAGCTTTACTTCCACAGCGGCAGCGGTCCCGGCACCTCTCCACAGGTAGGTTTGTAACTCCACGCAATTTTAGAAAGAGGTTTTTAGGAGGTTCCCGCGCCGGCACCGACAGTTTCGAGAGGTTTTGGGCCAGGTGCCGCGGGCAGCCCACGGTGACGACTCTCCTCAGATAGGGGCCAGGGCGGACAAYCCCTTCCAAGTTCCTATAAAGTTTCCAGACGCGCGGGCTGCCGGACCCCCACCGGTTCCGCGGGSCCCGCCGCGCACGGCCGCCCCGTCCCGCCGCACCTGCGGCCCCGGCCGGAGCCCCGGGAGCTGCGGGCGGAGGGGGCAGCGCGGCCCGGCCCCGCAGGTGCCCCGGGACCCCCGCCCGCTCCTTACCTGGCCGGGTCCCGCCCAACTTTCCCACTCCGGGCGAAACTTGCGGCAGGCAGCGGGCCCACTCCCGACGTCCACCTCCAGTGCAGTCTAGTCCACCCAGTCCTGTCCCGCTCCGTTCCGTCCCAGCCCCCCGCCAGCCCGGCCACAGGGGCGGGGAAAGGGGGCGGAGAGAAGCGAGCCCGCCCCGCGCCGGGCATTGTACGCCCCCGGAGCGCCCTTCCCAGCGGTTGAGRCGGCGTAGGCTCCTCCTTGCCTCGCCATGTTCTTTGTTTCTCCGGCTTTTCCCGGCCGTTGCCGGTGACGCCGCGGCCGCCCCGGCGGGGTCTGAGGAGCGGAGCGGAGCGGGGCCGCCCCGGCCGCAGGTGACCGAGCGGCCGCCCCCGGCCGAGCGCCGCCCCCCCGCCGGAGGGGATCCCGGCCCGCTCCGCCAATGGGCGCGGGGCAGGGGGCGCCCCGGCCAATGAGGCGCCGGGATGCGCGGAGAGCCCCGCGCTGAGCCAATGGGGCGCGGCCGGCGGGCGGGCCCGCCTCCTCCGCGCGGGGCTGGCCGGGCTCGGTGAGGGCTGCGCGTCCCTGCGGGCCCCGATGGCTCCTCCTGCGGGCACCTGGGCCTGCAGGGCCCGTCCTGCCTCGCCTGCCTGCCCACAGACTTGCTCGGGGACGCGGGAAGGGTAAAACTGGAAAAAGACTTGCGAAGAAGCAGAGTGACGTCCCCGCTGGGGGTCCGGAGAGGAGTCGGTAGAGATCGACGGCCTCCTTTGACTCGCCCTAACGTCAGTTTCGGATTGTAGGGAACGCCAAGTTCGTTATGTACCGAAGGAGTGAGCAGAGGAAGTAATAATGATAACTCAGAGGTGAAAACCGCCGCCCTGGGGTCTCACTGTCTGTCCCRTGACTGTCATGGAATTATCACGATTTGACAACACCCAGTCTGACCGTCCAGCCGGCGCTGCCACTGTAACCCTAAACCGCATCACCCAGCGGCACATACACACACTTCTTGCGGTGACTCCCTGGAGAGCRGCAGCTATTCCAATGCCTGACCACCCTAACAGTGGAAAATCTTTTTCTGATATCTAATCTGAATCTCCTCTKTCTCACCTTAAGGCCTCTTCCTCRAGKCTTCTCACTATGTTATGCTCAAGTATGCACCACTTGGTCCTACCCTATAAGTCACACTTACATGTGTGACCTCAACACTGGGTATGTTTATCGTTTATTCTCAAAATACGTACTTTTGATGCTTGAACTTCTGTCATTATTCCAGTCCTCAAGTTCACACAGGCAAATCCTGATCTTTTTTCTGGCTGTACCTCCSAGCCACACCATCAGGAAATGTCAGTGGTACATTCCGTAATTTAGTGGATTGGATGGACCTGTTACACYTTAGACAGGTGTGATGCCTGATTCTTCCAGAACTTCTTTCTGTGAGGGAGCATTCCCTCTGTGGCATCTCCTTTCAGCCAACTTCTTACCCATGGTGCCACATCTCACYAACCCCTATAATAGCTTTCTGTGAAGTCACGTACCAAACGCTGACTGAGGTCTAATCATGCCGAATCTCCGGCCTGCTCCTTATTCAGGAACCCTCTGCTCACAGAGGGTACTGGGTTTGCTTCACAAAATATACCTTTGGCAAAGTCCTGTTGCATTTTATCCCACTTTCCGCTTACTTGCACCTATTTAATTGTATTCTGACATGTTTGCTCTCAATYGTTAGTGACTAATGGCAACAGACAAGTGGTCTGATTTTGAATGCTGGCAGTAAAAGCAYACTGGTGGGTACCCCATGTGGGCTTCCTCCTGGGAAAACATCTGACTCTTGCCCTTTGATGACGATTGTTACGGTAGGACCCCCATGCCACAGGTGTAACAGTAATAGAGGCTAATTCCTGCTTGTGTGCATACACTGTGGCTTGTGGCCATGGAAGACTCATCAATATTRTGATTAACAAAAATAGATTTGGCTAACTTGGATTTTTCCGCCATACATGGCATGAGCATCCTTTTTTCTCAGCCTTTAGTCTTGAGAGCTGAATATCAGTGTGTAAGCACCCTTCCTGTGCATCTCAAAACAGCGTCTGGGCTTAGATTTTTTTTCTCTATTTCTGTTTCTCAGTTAAGATTTGACCTACTGAGCTGATTTGGTACTTTTCTCGTGTCTGCCCATTTTAGCACAGAGGTTCAGGCATTGTTGTTTACAAGGCTTGTATTTCCATCACAGCCAGGCATGACTTCAGGGACAGCTTGGCCATGCCATTGTGGTACAAATGTCTCACCAAGGATAAATCTGTCCCCAACAACCCAGAGCTCAAATTGGACAAGATGTAAGGGATGCTGRAGGACCAATGACATCTAGTATTTATACTGGAATAGTTACCTAAGGATTAAACCAGGRCAAACAAGCGGAGCAGGGCAAAAATTTTGGAATCACATATATCCACACTGCACAGATCCCTCTGCAAATGCCCTGCTTCACAATATGTGGGTGAAGRAAGACACACAGCAAATACATAGTGATTTGCATTGCTTTTATGATCTGCCACTGATTGGCCCAAGGTAATGGACCATGTTCCTCATAAACTGTTTCAAATATGAGAAAAACTTTTCCTAAACTGCTTTTACAGGGGAAGAGGGTTGTGTYAGTGTCATGTCTCACTTCTGCCGTGGTAAGGGCAGGCATGGGCACTGCTGCTTGGCTGACATCTGGTAACTCCATCAGAGCTGAGCTCTCAYCAGGCTTTAACACCCAGATGGAGCAATCAGAAGGCTGGGTTAGCCCAATCTTGCTGGCTTTGAAGATCTGAACATTACTGGTTAACACTTGAAGTAGATTGGTTAACATATAAAATTYAGTCATATATTTAAGATGCGCAGACATATATTTAATACCTTTTTTCAGTCACRGTTTATTATTGTAATATCTGTGAGTGAAAGCTATTAGACTACCAAATGAAATGTTAGAAAAAAAATGTGTCTACTTTGTTAGGGGCATGTCTCTTGCAATGATAAGTCAATGGGGCTGTTGTAGTGATTAATGGAGAAGCCATTCAGAGTTCTCAGGGTGGAGGGGTTGGGGTTTTTTAATTACCAAGATAACTTCCTCATCAGAGCCATTGCTCAAAGAAAAAACAACTGTTTTACTCACTTTCACTGCCATAGTGAGATGAAAAAGTGGTGATGTATTCTCCCCAGAGGTCATCATAGATACAAATAAGGTTGTCAATCTAATATATTCACACAGACTGGTGGACAAAGCCCRGGGTTTATTGTACTGTAAGAGAAATTGAACAGAAGGGAAGGAGGAGATTAAACAAGGCATTTGGAAAGAAGAGGTACCTACCCTACACGGTATCTGATTTGCAGTGAAGCTGCTGGATGGGAAGCTGGAAGGAAGAAAAAGCACAGTCATTAAATTTTATTTTTAAAGGAAGGACAAACACACTGCAACATTAAGGGCAAACCCAATAATATCTGCTTGCCTCTTCCAAACTCAAGAAGTGTGTCTCAAATCCCTTTTGAGCCAATACTTACAGTCTCACAKGTTATTTCCACCAGAAAACCAAGTCAGTGGTAGAGATGGGAGCAGCAGTGACAAAGTTCTGCTTCCTTGAGGAAGAACATACYTTCTTCAATATTTATTCAGTACTCCTAGCATTCTTCCAGTCTCTTTTCTATCAGAAAGATTCATTCCTCATTTTTTCCTCWGTCAACATCTTCAACCGTTCCCTTGCAGCTCTGACCACTTGTCTCTGCTTCTCCTCTGCTTTTCCCAGTCACAAACAAGCAACTTCTGGCTCATTTTCTGCTTCTGTGTAGCATGGTCTATATAAACTGAGTTATTGGGTGAAATTAATATCACACCATTTTTCTTACTCTAAAAATGTTTGTACTAAAAAAGTGACAAAGTTAGGCATGCCTCCAAGCAACACATTTCAGCGGTACAAAATGATTTTCTGCAAAGTCCAACTTTCAGAACAGCTCTTGGTTTTATAATGTCTAGCACAAGAGCATCTGATGTGAATTGGCTGATACATACGACTATAATGAACCTGCCTAATGAATAATACTAAGATTGGGCAGTTCTGCCACTTCATTTCCAACTGAAGCAATAATTCAGAAAAATACATTGTTCCAAAATTTGTTTCTTCATTGTAATGATAGTGTCTCATCTGCAGGAGGTGTAATGTGAATATATAACATTTGGACAAGAGAGGTTACATCTTTGCTCTCCACTGTTGTCTTCAGTGCTGGAACACAGCAATGGGTTTCCTTGAAAGCACAGCAGACAGCATTTTAAAGCAGCTTCTCTGGTAAAGAGGACAGCAGCAGATGTCCAATCCAGTACTTCTATCATGCACTCAGTGAGTTACAACTGGGGAGAGGTAAGTAGTCTTTAACCTTCAAAAAACATGATCAGAGTAACTGGAATATTGTCTTGCATCTGAACTTCAAAGTAAAATTAACACAACTTAGAAAATACTTAGAAAATATTTATTTACAATTTAAATAAAAATGCTTTTTAGACTAAAGATCTCAACTATAATGAAATATTRTTCTGGACTGATAGGATTCAATTTCGTGCCTCACAGAGATGCCCATGATATATATCTCTGCTATTACCAGTTACCCTCTTCTCTCTCCATAGTTATTAATACCACAGTTTACTTCCATATAGCATRGTAGAAGAAGTGTATGCTAACAAAATATACCTGAGTTCCCTAAGAAAATTACTAGATATGATGTAATGACCATGATGCATATGCTTGCTGTTTCTGGTGAGCTTCATGGGACAATGAATCATCAATTCCAGAGAAATGCTGTGTTGGAAAAGNAATGAATCATCAATTCCAGAGAAATGCTGTGTTGAAAAAAAAAAAAAAAAAAAAAAAACAACAAAAAAAAAAAAAAAAAAAAAAACCAAAAAAAACCCAAAAAAAAACCACCAACACAGCCGATTTTCAAAAGATGCAGGCGCGCTGTCTGTTTTCAAGCCTTGTCACTAAACCATTTGCAACTTACATTTGAAACAACACTCTAGAAAATAATGAGCAAACCAATGTACAGATATATGCCATAAAGCTTCAATGCATGTGGTCGCTTCACAGTAGGTGGTGTTACAGCTCTTCTTTTACCTAGTAGCTTTGGAAGAGGGTAGGGATTTTTCCAGCAGTTGTTTTGAATTGTGTTCTGCTGTTGTATGATAGCATCACTAGCTGAAACCTTAGCCATGAAGTCAAAGTGTAGCAAAGCATGAGAAAAATCTTTAGTACTGAAGGCCAACAATAAGGGCAACATGACTKT